GATGGTGAGATGATTTTGCAAGCCATGAAAAAAAAAATAAGATTTTTGCAAGTTACTTATAAGAGCATCATCTAGGGCTAAATATATATGTTTTGCGATAAAATATAAAACACCAAACTTCCCAGAGACCTAAAATTAAAAATCATGAATGCTGAGAAATATTACATACTCGTTGTCGGTTCATCCTCCATCAAAAATTAAAGGAAAACAGCCTAGAAAAGAATCTGATGCTGAGAAACAAGCCTTGTTGGTAGCATGGCACCAAAAAGGTGATAAAGGCGTATCAAATTCGTAATGATTTTGAAGAAAAAAAAGGAAAAATGACCAAGGTAAGATACATGAAGCAATAAGAGAAGCAAAGTCCACAGACCTATGCAACCACCAAAAAGGCTTGGGGCATAAAGATCCTTGCCAAACTAAAAGAAACAGCTATTGCACTAGAAAACTATTAATGTTAAGGGCTACCCATATCACATCAAAATAACAAAGCCTAAAAAATATTATATGTGTATGGAGAATATAAGTGTTAAGATTTTCTACCTTAACCTTACATTTGAAACCCAAGGTTCAATATAGGAGGGTTTATAATGAAATAGCACTTAAAGGTTGCAACAAACTGTCGTAATAGCTTTGAATCTCTATAATTTCCTCTTGGAGATCTGCTACCTTCTAAACTATTTAGTTCTCATAATTACCTGCCCAGAATACCTCATATGTCAAATTGGAATAGCAGTGTTGTATCTATCTCCCAAAATTTTCAATGCATGAATACACATGTGGATACCCATAGAAATTATTATGGCACACCACAAGGAGTATTATATCATAAAATACAAAAATAATAATCAAATGCTATATGTGATGAATCCCACTAAAATTATAAAAAATAGTAAGTTGTTTAAAATGAATACAATGAGAACCTTACTCAAGCGTAAATGACATAGCAAAGAAAATAAGATTTTTGCAGTTTTCCTATATCACTATCGCAAATCTGTGTTTATAAGCAGCAAAACATTGCTCATAAATCATAACAATCTTATTATATTGAGACTTATTTTAAGTCGTTTATTTAGATTTTTATATTATTTCCATTTATGAATTTCGCGATAAACTACCTCCGTTATCTAGATTTTTTAGAACTAAGTCCTACATTCCATAAGAAGTATATGAATTTATTAAATAATAGATTATAAATTATAGATGTAGCCTTCATTGGAGAAATCTTGGATAAGTGCAAAACTTTTTTCTTCCAATGAGTGATTCAAAAAATCCTAAAAAATAATGATAATTAATCTGCTTTGTCTAATTCCAAAAAACTATCCCCCTAAGCCACACCAATCCTTCTTCTTCACCACTTCTCCAACAAGAAGGAAGATGTTTAGGGAAAACATTTTGACATTAAAGATGATTGTTTACGCTTAATGAGAGTTACATGAAAAGAAAGACAAGTGTTCCAGAAAGTTGTTCAAGGCTGGGAGGGGTGCATTTGGTTAATTAGGATGGTTTGACCAGCAAATTTAAAGAGTCAATTGGATTTGAACGTCCAAAAAATTAGATCAAATTGACCAAATAAAACACACAATCAAACCAAACCAAACAACAAATTTGTTCGGTGTTTCAGTTTGATTATAAATAAACTTCATTGCATTAAAAAATAATTTGTGTAATTTTTAATGCATAATTGATAAGCAAAAGTATACTTAAAATCACCTATAAACAAAAGCGATTAAACTTTAGAATTTCTTATCACAAAAGCTTGGTTAAAATCATATACATTAATTTGATTTTTTATTTTACAAAAAATGGTGAATCAATAATCAATTCAATAAGTAAAAATCAAGCATTTGATAGTTTGAACCAATATCTAAACCGACAAGTTAAAATCCAAAAAAAATTATCCAAGATAATTTGATTATATTTTATTTTTAATTATAGCCAAACAATGCTCACTCTTATCCAAAACCATCAAATTTGAAGGATAAAGCAACAAAATCTACTAACCAGCAAAATGAGTAGAAAGATAATATTGTCAAAGTTGAAGAACATCAGAAACACATAGTTAAAAAATTGAATGTTACAATAAAATCATCGAAGAAGGAAATAAAATTTTCAAGATAAAATAAATGAAATTATTCAATGGGTGAAATTTGAATATCACACAAAGGATTTAGCTATTGATGAAAAATAAAAATCACCTTGGCAATAGAATTTCGATTCTTTCAATTGACAAGGTAATTTCAAGATGCACTCACCACCATCAAAATTTGGCAACCCAATCTGGTTGAATCAAATTCAATTTTTTTCCCCAAACCATTTTGTATTGGTGGACCTAAATCCTAGCTAAGAAGAATAGTTGATTGCATGGCTGGGAAAATTGTGGCCGTAAGATGTTATCCACTGTGCTAGTTAGAGGGGATTCAATCTTATAAAGATGGCAATGAGTTTTGAATATGTTAAGGAAAATTCAACAATCATAAAAGAAGAAGAACATCAATGTCAAAAATTGACTTAGTTAATAATGATAAAAAGGTAAGAAAAACATACCAATGTAAAAGTTAACATGTTTTAAAAATATAAAGTTTATAATCGAGTGGAGTGGTCAAAACAAAATATGTGGATCTATGGAAAACAAAATTAGAATTCAAGACCTTGTAAGTGTTGAAATATAAATGTTTCAAGATGGACACTTCATTTATTTTTCCTTTTTTTTTGTGTTCTAAGTCAAATTTTCACAACGATGGAGAATATAGAGATATGGGATAAAGCTTAGCATTTTTTATTGATTGTCAAATTCACCATAATATTCCAAATAATTAAGACTAATGGCGATGATGATGAAAACATCATTTATGAATTTCAGAAAATAATGCATTCAAGATACTTATTTTGGAGTTTGCAAGTTATCTTCGTTTGGGAGATTATTGGGATTTGGTGCAATGGTGAAACCAAATTGATTTATTAGTGAAGAGTTTTAAAATTGCAGATTTACCCAACTTAAATATGGGGTTATGAGCCAATGCATAAGATTTGATCCATGGGCTATGCTTGGATCTGGCGTCAAGGTTTCTTACATGGGTTTGAGGTGAATATAGAAAGCATAGATTGAAGCAAAAGACAGAAAAACAAAAGCACCAAAGAAATCTAAGCAAAATATTATTGGAAGGGAACTCTATCTTCTCTATGTAAGAAAGTCTTTGCTCTTCTTATCATTCTCTTGTTGCTATACACTTGAAAAAGAAGAATTGTATAAAATTTCCATGTCAGTAGCAAGTGACCAAGCTCTACTTTAAGAAGAATTAATGAAGTATTGAACCTTTTATGAAAGCTCAAAAGATTCATAAAGGGCAATATATTGTTACAAACCTTTGGAAGGTTGTATTAGAAGTGTAGATTAACAAAAATGAAAGGGTTTGCAATTTGTATTTGGTTGGGAGAAAAACAATTTGAAATTAACTTGTTAAGGAATTTTGAATCCAACTTTAAATCACTTTAAGTGTACTCTAAATTTACACAAATTGAGCAAATTTGTAAAGTCACATCACAAAACTTCCATCTCTCCCCGCACATAAAAGTAAGGTGTACATCAATTGCAAATTTTCACAGCACAACTATGACCCAATGCAATGTAAAGATGAATCACAATATAAAAATAACAAATGTGGAAGAATGTTGTTTGTACTCTTAAAACAAAAATTAAAAGTGAAATTTATCCCGTGGGTTGTTATGACCTTCTCATGATTCTTTTTTTTCGATCGAAAATAGTTTTCTTCCTTTTGTGTTGTCTAAAAATTCCTATTTAATGTATTTGAAATAGCATTGATGATAAACCAACACTAATTGTATGCAATAGTCCTCCCTTTAACCACGTCTACGTTTAAATTTCAATATCATGCACCAAATAAAAATTCCACATGGTCCAAACAAAAAACCACATGGTCCAAACAAAAAAATATTTTTCATATTATTCCAATCATCTTTGGCTAACAAGGATTTAAACATTTTTTTCCATGTTACTCGATGCAAATCAAATGGACCTCCATCAATAGTTGATTTTTATTTGCCACGTGTTTTGGGAAGAAATAAAGCATGGAAAGTAATCCTTCCACTTTCCAAGTTTATTTGGAAAGTGTAGACCAAATTAAAATAATAAACAAATAACCTTCCAATATGAGGATGGTTGTTCTTTTCAACTAAGCCAAGTAGCAATTTCATCTGTGTAGTTAAAATTAAGACCTCACTAGAGAATTTGTTGTGTTTCAAAAATCTAACCAAAATAACTGAAAATTCACCAGTAAGTTTAAAAAAATAATAAAATCAAATAATAAAATAAAATTATAAAATCAAGTGAACCTTTGATCAATTGCTCGTAAAAGGGGAATAATAAGCCTTTAAAAAACATGGATAAAATAACTCTTATGTTTTTTTTTCCTTTCCAAACAATAATTCCTAATTCAGATTACTATTTCCGATCCTTCAAGAATCTAATTGACATCTAGTTCAACTTCTCTTATAACCACATTCACTTCAGATTCAATGACAATATGGCCAAGCAAAAAAAAGATAACCAGTAGGGATTTGAACAAGAAAAAAGACCAAACAGTCTAACTCTCAAAATCTCTACTGCACATAAAAGTGTCTGAAAAAAAGGTTATTATTAACATCATTTACTTACTTGAGTCATGGATTCATCAAAGACAACTAACAAAACAGCATCTTGATGAAAGAGGTGCCTCAAGACCATATTTATGTACTCGTGAAACTTCCTAAACCCTAAGCCTCCAACTTCTTATTGCCCGCCAACAGCTAAGCGCTCTTTTTTTAAAAATCAATCAAGCATCCGTTACCAGGAAGAAAATGAAAAAAAAATAAATAATAAAAAATCGAGTTTTCCCATCAGGTAATACAGAAATAAGCACATATATTCACCAATAAAAAATTAAAAAAAAAATTAAAAGCTTTTGAAACACATCCATGGCAAAGCGGCGTGTGCGAAAACCTACTAGCCAAGGAAAGCTCCGGGGTGTTCGTCGGGCAGCTGGGAGATCTAGAAGCCAAAATATGAACAAAACCTCACTTTTGTGGAGGGGTAGGGTTTAGCCGCTACACCGCTGGGCTCCGTCGGTCAGCTGAATGACCTAAAAAGGTTATGTTTAATGAAGGTATATGTACTCTCTTGGCCCTTTTTCAAATTATATTCATATATTTTAAATTACAATTCTAATATTTATTTATGACTTTTGAGAATTTCTTGGCTTAGTAATTTTTTTAATATTATTTTAAAAATTAAAAAAATGTTTCCGAAGTGAAGTGCATTATAGTGTGCAAATTATAGAGGAATTAAGTTGATGTGTCATACATTAAAATTTTGAGAGAGACTAATTGAACATAGTTTAAGACTTGATATAAAGATTTCTCAATATCAGTTTAGCTTTATGCCGGGCAAATCTACTATAAAAGCTACATATTTGTTGAGATGTTTCATGGAGAAGTACAAAAAAAAAAAAGATAGGATAATCTACATATGTTTTTTTATTGATTTAAAAAAACTTATGATATGGTTCTTTGAAGAGAAGTTCTTTGGAGAGTTCTAAAAAGTAAAGGTGTTTGATATGTATATTCAAGTCATTAAAGATATGTCTGTTATAGTTATTACTTGTGTTCAATAGAAGGAGAACTGACCAAGTATTTTTCTATTTCAGTTGGATTACATCAATGATCGACCTTAAGCATTTCTCTTTTTTTTTTAGTTATGGATTGCCTCCCTTAATAAGAAGTTAATTGCACGATCATGTTAGAAATTTCATGTTTCAACTTTATACACAAATTACAAAAGAAAAGTACATAATAGCCAAGATCTTTTAAATTCATGATTTTTACTATATAAAAATAAAGCGACGCATACCTGTATTCATGATGAACAAATTTGATCTTGAAGAGATGGAATTTCTCTCTCTAATCCCTTAAAACTTTCTGTACTTTCTGATGGAGAGAAATGTACGAGGTGTGTTGGGTAGAGAGAGGACCTATTCTCAAATTCATGCTCTATTTATCCACCATCCATCAAGGGGGTTACTAACCAATAGGATTTATGATAATTTAATAAATTAATTGATTTTTATTAATAAAATCAATGACATAAGTTAGTAACATTTATTTATTTTAGGGGTTATAGAGTTACAAAAATAAATATCATAAGTTATCATAAATTATGACATAAGTTATGAGTTAAGAAAATAAATAACTTAAGTTATCAAAATAAATATCATAAGTTGTCATAATTTATGACATAAGTTATGAGTTATGAAAATTAATAACTTAAGTTATCAAAAATAAATCTCATAAGTTATTAAAATAAATGTGAGTCATAAATAAAAATATAACATTCTCCCACTTGGCTCACTTAATTTTAATAGTGCATTACATACTACAAGATAAATCCTTCTTTATATTGGTTAAATCATAAATTATTTAATAAGTATGAAATTAATATGAATCATGGCGGTTGTGCATCAATTTATCGACACAATCCCTTCCATGTATCACGATATCAATTACATACTTAGCATAATGAGAATTAACATCATGGTCCCATAATGTCTATTAAAAGACAAATCTTGTTGAAACATCATGCAACATAAAGTGTACACTAACGATAAAAACAAGATTTATAAATATCAGAAACAAAAAAAATTGAGCCCAAAATGTCAAAATATAAAGAGCATAAAACTAATAAAGGGTTTTGGTAATGCCCATTCTCACGACATGTTCGTTAAATGTCTTCGGTGACAATCCTTTTGTCAAAGGATCTGCAATCATGAGATTGGTGCTAATATGCTCAATTGACACCCTATGTTTCTGAACTTCTTCCTTAACGGCAAGATATTTTAATTCCATGTGTTTAGCACCTTTGGAATACTTGTCGTTTTTGGAAAAGAAGACTGTTGTGGAGTATCACAATAAATTTTCATCGTCTTGGCAATACTGTCGACAATTCCAAGTCCTGAAATAAAATTCCGCAGCCATAAACCCTGAATTGTAGCTTCAAAGCAAGCCACAAATTCAGCTTCCATAGTGGAAGCAGCTGTGATAGTCTGCTTCGCACTTTTCCATGAGATTGCTCCTTCAACTAAAAGGAACAGATAGCCAAATGTTGATTTTCTGGTATCA